CATGGGGTGGCGACTTTATAAAGGAGAGGGGACAGACACAGGATGCCACCTCCATTCCCATAGACCCAGCCCCTGACCTCTCTGACCTCCAGAACAAAATAAACCTCTTTTCTTGGTGGAGTCAGCCTGCCTGGGCGTGCCGCTGTAGCAGTGCTAAGTGCACCGATAGGAGTGGCAGGTTCCCGTGTCCACGGTGGCCCTCACTTGGACACTCCGCATTTAGTGGCGCTGCCGATGGCTCTTCTCCACCATCTTGTGGTGGCCTGGGGTCCCTGTCCCAGCCTCGGGTCCGCCGGCCCCTCCCTGTTCCGTGAGAGCTGCAGCACGTCGTCCTGGCGGGAGGTGAAGGTCAACAGTCAAGTGCACTATTTTGATGAAAAAAAAAAAAAATCCAAACCACTGGCCGCCAATCCCCATTGCCCTGGCCCCCAAGCACCTGTCACCCGCCCTGTGCCTCCACCACTCCGCTCTGTCCGGGCTGCTCAGTGGCTGCCCCGCGACCCGGCGGTGGCATTTCACATTGGCCATGAGCACTGCCGACACTGGGTTCCAGCTCAGCCCCTGATGAGGCTCAGTTGTGGGGGTTTTGGTACCAGCTCCTGAACTCAGGGGCACTTTCCACCCAGCCCCATCCCAGCCTTTTTAATATTTTTTTTAGAGACAGGGTCCGGCTGAGTTGCTGAGGCTGGCTTTGAACTCGCCATCCTCCCGCCTCAGCCTCCACACCTGGCATAAGGTTCATTTTTGGTGGCTTTGAAGTGTTCCACTAAGTGGCAGTGTCCCTCCCCACCACCCACGCTGCCAGCTGCTCACTGTCCTACTGTATGGAACTGAGTGGCCTTTACAAAATTGTGTGTGTGTGTGTGTGTGTGAGGATATGTGCCAGTGTGTGTACTTGGGTGAGCCTGAAGGTGTGGGTGTGAATGTGTGTGTGTGCATGTGTGGGTATGTGTGTGACTAGTGTGTGGTTTGTGTGTATGAGTGTGAGTGTGCGTGTTCATGTGTGTGTATGTATGCCTGTGAGCGTATCTATGAGTGTGTTTAAGTGACTTGTACATGAGTATACAAGTGTGTGAGTGTATGCACATGTGCGTACGTGTGAGTGTATGTCTGTATATGTGTGCGTTTGTGTTTGAACATGCCTTTTTGAGTGTGCATGTGTGTCTGAGTGTGTGCAAGTGGATGTGTATCAATGTGTCTGAGAGTGTATGTGAGTGCATATGAGTGTGTGAGTGGGGGTGTGCATATGTGTGATTGTGTTTGTGCATGACCTTGCAAGTGTGTCAGTGTGTTGTATATAAGTGTGAGTGTACATGTGTCTGAGTGTGTATATGTGAGTGAATGAGTGCATGTGTACATGTGTGTGAGTGTGTGTGAGCACTGTGCACACACTTGTATGTATTTCAGTGTGTATGTGGGTGTGAGAGTGCACGGGTGTATGTGCATGTATGTGTGAATGTGTTGGTACATGTGTATTTGAGTTTCAGTGCATGTATGTTGGGGAGTGTGAGTATACATGTGAGTATGCATATGTGCATTTATGTGTGTGTGCATGTGTGAATGAAAGTGTATGTGGTGTCTGGTTGTGGTTGTTGTGTTTGTGTGAACATTCATGTTTATGAGTGTGAGGGACTGGATGTATGTGTTTTTGAGTATGAGTTTATGTGAGTGTGTGTGTGAGTATGAATGTGTATGAATGTGTGATTGAGTATGTTCGAGTGTACGTATGTACACCATAAATTTGTCAGTTGTGAGTGATTTTGTGTGTCAGTGTGTATATTTATGAGCATTTTGGGACAGTGTGTGTGAGTGCACGTGTATATAGGTGTGTGTGTCTGTGAGTGCATATATGACTATGTGTGTGTAATTGTGTTTGCATGTGTATGAGTGTATGTGTGTGAATGTGTTAGTATGTGTGTATTTGTGTGTGTGTGTGTATGCACACGTGCGCGACTGCATGTTTCCTGGTGGTGGGCCAGGCCTGGGCTGGTGCTGGCGGGCTCCGCCCCCCACCTGTGCGCCCAGCCCCGTCTTGAAGAGTCCTGGGACAGGCCCCCTGTGCTGCCCGGGCTGGTCTTGAACTCCTGTGCGCAGGTGTCCCTCCTGCCTCAGCGTCCCGGCAGCTGGGGCATAGGCGGCCTCCACCACACCCTAACAAAAGTCGGATGCTCGTCTCACTGCTGCCCCGTCCTGTAGCAGTGATGACCACGTGCTTCCTGTCCTTCCTGAGTTGTTGGAACCTTCCAGAATCCTTCCATTCTGGCACACTTCTGTCAGCAGCTGCTGGGCACCCGAGGGCTGGGGACAGCGGGCTGGCTGCCTGGAGGAGAGGTGGCACCCTGTCTGTGGTACAGCAGCCCCGGGACCGGGAGGCAGAGCTGCCAACTCCGCCTCCTTCCCTCTTCTTAGGAAGCCACGCGTCACATGCCTCCACTGTGGGGTCCCATTCATGACCCCGTCCAATCAGAACACTCCCTAGACTGCACTTGCTAACACCATCAGCACCCCATCCTGGGGACCGAGTTCCTGGCACACGAGCTTTGGGGACATGTTCCAACCACAGCCCACGCCAGCACCAGGGAGCCGTGGAGGAGGGGGGCACTTGGGATGGGACTCCTCCTGCCTGTGTCTGGCCAGCGCCCAGAAAGCCACCACCCACAACCAAGGCTCACGGGTCAGCAGAGGGCTGGAAGGTGGATCTTGAGTACAGAGAAGAGCCACCTGGTGTAGTGGGCGGGCTCAGGGGCACCAGAGTTGGCCAGGGAGGAGGAGGCCGGGCAAGGGCACTCCAGGCTAGGAAGAGCCAGCGCAAAGGCCCTGAGGCAGAGTGGCACTGGAGCAAAGTAAGTAGGGGAGTGCGCCAGCATGGGCATGGGTCGAGGAGCCTCTGACTGGTGGCACACTGATCTCAGAGTCCAGTGGCCCTGCCTCAGTGCCCAGGCCCAGAAGTGGGCAGAGCCCAGGGGCCACATTTAAACACCTTTGACTTTAGTCCCCTCCCAGTTTCCTCCTGTGCCGCCTGGCCTTAGGCGTGAGGACCCCTCTTCTGGGACCCTCAGTTCTGCCAGGTCTGTCTGGGGATACAGGTGGTGCCCCAGGGAATGCTGCAGGTGTCCTTGGGAGAACTTGGTGAAGTCCCAGTCGTGAACAGGCAGATGGGGGTGTCTGAGGGCAGGGCCTGTGGGGTGCCCGGCAGATGGCGGGCGCATCCTTCGCTGCAGTTGGGCTACAAACAGACCGCAACCTCCCCTCCCCCCACAGTGGCGGGCAGTGGCCAAGGCAAGTCCCACAGACCAGCTGTCCCTCGCCCAGCTGCCTCAGGGTCGGGTCGGGACCTACCCCACCCTCACTAATAGGCTGGGGACATTTGGACAGTATGTCCCCCAGCTGCCAAAGGAGCCCAGACTTCCCATGGCTCTTGGAACCAAAAGCAGACCCCTTGCGGGTGTTGAGGCTCCTGCTCGCCCAGTCCCCACCTTCCTGCCCCTCTCCCTCTGCGACTCCCCTGAGCTGCCCATTGCAGCCACACCAGCCTCCAGACCCATCAGTCCTTTGTACCTGCCACACCCTTCACCAGGGAAGGCCCCACTCTGGCCACCCCTCCTCCTGTCCCCAGTCACTTCTCCAAGGGCTGCTGCTTATCCTGGCCAGGGTCCCCTGTTGCCCACATTCCTGTAGGACCGAAGCCTTTCGCTGTGTCCCCGCACCCAGCACAGAGTACGACACCGCAGGCCTCCGTGCAGGTTGGCTGGGATGACCACCAGGACCCCACGTGCCAGCCGGGTGCGGTGAGGTGGCTTCCCCAGCCTGACACCCGTCCCCACAGGAGGAGAAGGAGAAGCGGCGCCTGGAGCAGCTGGAGCGCAAGAAGGAGACGCAGCGCCTGCTGGAGGAGGAGGACTCCAAGCTCAAGGGTGGCAAGGCGCCCCGCGCGGCCCCCAGTAAGGTCACCCGGGCCCAAATTGAAGACACACTGCGCCGGGACCATCAGCACAGGGATACCGTCGACACAGGTGGGCTGCCTGTCACTATGGAGTGGCCCTCTTGGCCACTGAAGGCTGAACCCTGGGATGTACCCCGGGGTCTGCAGGCCTCCTTTAACGTGAAGGGTGGCTGGTACGTCACAGGTGTGCGCATGCGTGTATTGATCCGCACCCACCCGCCAGGGCTGGTGCTCCCCAGAGTGCTAGTGGGAGGTCCTGAGCCCCGTGTGGGGCGCCGCGTGAGGGCCTTGGGGGGTGAGGAGCGTGCGGCCTGCAGGGCTGGGCACAGGGGCGGCCCCCTCGCGGTCAGCTCCGGCTCCTCTCCGCCCCCTCCTCCCTCGCTGGCTGCTTCTGCCGCTGCCTCATCATCTTGGAACTCTGCATCTCTGACTCTGTGTCTCTGTCACCACCCACCCTGCCGTCTGCCTGTCCCAAGCAGAGAAAACCAAGAGCCATCTGGAGGTGCC